AACTTTGGGGAGAGAACAGAGTTTTGTCCGTCTGTTCTTGTAAATCGAATATCTCAAGAAGGATGAGAGATACAGACGTAAAAGTTTACAGATATATGTAAAAACAGTAGCTGAACAAATGTTATTAAGAGATAAAAGGTTGTTAACTTAATAAAATATTCCGTAAATTGAGAAAAACGTAAAAATTATTGTGACGAAATTTTGTGTACAGATGATGAGCAGAAAGAGTCCTTAACATCAATATTCTTTATTATCATTTTTTTTTAAAAAAAATGTCCTATGGTAACTCTTTTCCAGTTCTGGCCAATATCCTTAATAGCTATTTCATTAAACAATCATGCTTAGAGTATATAATTTTTATATACTCTAAGCATAGTTTTGCTATGCAACAACTCATATTCTAATTCATTTTAATTCAAATTCAAATTTTCTTCTAATGATTTGGATATCTGAAAAAAAAGTTAACACTTAACATATATGCACATCTAGTTGTCAGTTGCTTTTTGTATTATATTATAATTTATAACTCAAAATTAATATTCACATGAGTTCTGCAATGTAACATTATAAGAGTTAGAGTCTTTATCATTATAAGCAGGTTTATAAACATGTTCATATTTAATTATTATAACATATCGATTTAATGCTAGATAAAATCAGTGATATTTATAAAATTGTAGGTTAGAATACCATAAATTTAGATTTTAAATTCACATGTATGAGTATGAATTTTATATTTAGAGAATCTAAATGACTTCTGATAACAAATTCAGTAGACAAAATATCAATATTGAAAAAAATATAATTAGTAGTTTGGTGAATTACTAATAAGCTTTAAAAAAAAAAAGAGTGAATGTAAACCTTTAATCTATAGACAATTAGTTTATGATAATGTATAATCAGTAAGATATGAATAATCAAAATATTCAGAGTTTATAACATAATAGAGCTGAATTAGTTTTTATTATTGAAATAAAAGACTGAATTGTTGGAATTTTCTTCTTTTATGAATTCAAAAAGAGACGATGTTTAAATCTGCAAAATAATAGGGCATCTTTAAAATTGTTCCTCTTTTATATGATATTACACATGCATATTTTCTTTTTTCAACTCCTAATCTTTTTTACATCATGTGAATTTGAGATCCAAATAATAAGATTTTTGCTAAATAAAATGAAAGCCTGATAATAGCAAATTAGTATTAAGTATCAGTTAAGTAATTATCATTCTTGGATAACTTTATGCCAAGCAAGTAAATGCTTAAATCGTTAGTTTTACTACTCCAATTATTAGCAGGATAAATTTTATTGTATTTGGGTAGTGCCAAGGAAAACTAGGCTCTGATCATATAAATATTATATTATTAGAGTCTTGTTTTCTCTTGGCATCACTCATTAAATATAAAATAAGTGTTTAATAAAGTGCAAGGCTATTAATTTTGTAAATCTTTTAAATTATTTAAGTATTTGGCTTTATATATCACATTCTGTAAAAATCTTTAAATATTTATCACAAAAAAGACAATGAATGGCTGTTAATAAATATTTAAAATAAGAAATATGTGAATATTGTGAAAATAATCCTAACAAAACACAAGTAGTTATTGCAAAGCATTTCAATTCCCAAGACACTAGCTTCACAAAAGCATTAAATCTAAGTAATGATGCTTTAAAATTTTTAAATAGGTGGATTGAAAAGTTTAAACAATATAATAAACCTTAGAAATTTCAAACTATATGGAGAAGCAAATAGTGCACCATTATCTTCACTTCTAAAGTATTGGCAAAAATTATACAAATTGATCGAAATATATATATTGAATAATGTTTTCAATGCAGATAAAATAGGTCTTTTCTTTTATATGGTACACAACTAAACAATTGTGTCTAAATCAAGACCTGAATTTAAGAAAGCTAGTTAATGTTAATTATTATACAACTGGGTGAAACCCATGCAGAAATAGTTATATTATTAATGCAAATTCTATCTAAAATAATAGTAACTAATCTTAATTAAGTATAAATCTGCATCAAGAAAGTTATTACCTCTGCATAGATTTCACCCTTCCATATTATAATTACTGTATTGCTGTTTTTGGATTAGTGCAATAAATTTCATTTATCGCACTATTCAAAAACAGCAATAAATTTTTTTAAAAGTTAACTGTTTAAATATTAATTAGAGTTATTTACAAATTACTGTTATGTGACATGTAATACAACTGAAAATGAAATTTAAGGCCATTAGTTATTGGGTTTTCAATTTTTCTATGTGCACTCTATTGTCTTAACTATGCTTATCTATTGTGCAAATTATAAAGCATAAATGCGAAATGATATATTCTCTGTATGGTTAAAAATTTTAGATGAGAGGTTTCGAATTCAAAACTGTCAAGTTTTATTACTAGTAGATAATGCCGCTTTATATTGTCATAATCAACCTAATACTAATAAATTACATAAATCAGATAGATTAGATTTTGATTCAGAGGAAATATCTGGTAATGATATAGTATCTGAAGCTCCAACTATTTTATGTGAGAATCATTGAGGATAAGATTAGCCATGAATAATCAAAACCAACCAGAGTACAAGTAATAGTCATGGTAATCATGGTCGTAGTTATGGTAATGGTTATGGTAGTAATAAGAGTCATTATGATAATGGTTATAGTCAGCTATATATTATATCTGATTATTCATATGTAAGATTAACCAATATCAAACTTAAGTTTTTATTACCAAATACTACTGCACATCTTCAGCCTATAGATGCAGGTATAATTAAAAGTTTCAAAACCAAATACAAGCAAAAATATATCTGATATATACTAACACAATTTGAAAATAAGAGGATTTAATCAAGTATAACTTTAATAACTTAATTATACAATAATTTTTAACTTTACCATAGAGCACAAAAGACCCCTTTTTGAATATCCTCATGCAAAATTGTTAATTCTCACTTTCTCGAAATACTAGTTACCTAATATTATATAGGGTTAAAGTTAGCATTTTGTTAGTTGTAGATATATTTTTAGCAAATTGTTACCTGTATAATGTTGAGTAAGTGACATGTTGGTGAAATTGCTTTCAGAAAATTGTACTGTAACCATGTAAATTACTCTGTTGCAAATCAAATATCTCTATTAATTAAAATTTTTTTTTTGTGATGCAGACCCACTGCAGTATAATATACTAGGTCTTTTATAAGTTTTTTTTGATTAGTATTTTGTATTAGATCTGGGTATTTGCTTAGTGCTCTATGATAATAACTTAATTATGCAATATATTTTTTTTGCAATAAATTTTAGGGGAATTTACAGAAAAGGGCTCAAAAAACGAAAATAATTACAAATAAGGGCCCAAAATGAAAATAATTACAGATAAAGACCCGATATTTGAAAATTAT